TTAATCTTTTTTTTGTAGATCTCAAGTTTTTTTGCATCATTATTATTGGCTTTGAATAAAATTCTTGCTTTTGTACGAAAAATCTTTTTGAATTTTCCACTTATTTGCAAGTTTTACAAAATTTTTAGCAGTCATTATCTAGCGGTAAAAACTAATAATCCTCTTAGTTGTACATCCATGTTAACAATTTTATTTTTATTTTGTTTTAAGACTAATGCAAATAAATTTAAAAAAGTTAAAAATTGTCCGTAGCAAAAATCAAGGTATACAAAAGATATCTAACCTCATAGGTAAGATTCCTAATTGATGATATTGCGGGAAACAACTACTCTATTGTATTGTAAGCAAAGCGTCAAAGTCACTCACACACACACACAAACACAAACGATATTTTACGGCCAACGTCCTTAGAAAAAAACCTGTATTCTTCACTGGCACGCCAGGCCAATAGGGCAGGTATTAAGCCCCTAGATACGTATCGAATAAACTGATCGATGCCAAGCTTAAGTTCACAGGCAGACATATACATGTTATTGTACAATTATGCAGATAACGGGATTACTAAAATGTGAAGCAGTTGATGCTTCGCCAACATCGTCACCTCGGTAAATGCTAAACGGCCATTTTCGTTTTTTAAATGGGTATTTATCGATCGCCGGAGACGATTGACCGCGGAATACTTAGGGCAACTGTTAATTATTTTCTACAATCGTTTTCCTTATGAGCGAGAAATTATTATTTTGTTCACTGCTTATTGCTGGTACATATTATTACGTATTATACCTATATATTTTATGGTAAGTTCCATGTGAAGCGTTTAGTGTAAAAAAAAACACACTTATTTGTTTCACGCAAATGTCACAGCCAACTCTGTAGCAAATATGCAGCCGCCCTAACATTTCAGATCTCTAGACCGATGTTACAACAACAATAATGAAACATATCTTTTAAGATGACGCCAATATGTCAGGTATATGTTTTTTTTTGTATTAATAATAATATTTAAACATCATTTTCAGTGTTTATTATACTTATTAATTACTAATTGTTTAGTAGACATTGTTGGAATGTTCCAATGCTGATCAATATACCCCACAGAGTAATTGTTTCCCGAAAAATCATCATTTAAAAGGTTATGAGAAGATTGTTTAACTTCATTTGATATTTTTATTTTTTTATTTTTTTTATTTTTGGGTAAAAAAATTGTGTGAAAAAATTTAAAAAATAGTGAATTAAAGCCTTGCGCNGTATGGGGGGAGTATGTGTGTGTGTGTGTGTCGTTGTCTTTGTTTCTTGATCCTGGCTGTCTCTGAAACAGAAAAGGTTAGCGGGCAGGGGAGGGGATGTCTGGGGTGGTCACCCAGGGTCAAAAAGTTGGTGTCTAGGTCTTTTGTGTTTGTCGGTGCTAAAATGGTAAAGATCTATCTACAATGGGTATTTTTGCGTGTCGATCTTTGTCAAAGGTGTTGTTTAGACATCGAAACTTTGTGGCGAAAATCAAATAAATAAACAGTAGTAATCTATATTATGCTAGAATGCGGCAATACGCGTTATAGCAGCAGAAATAGACTAAATCTGTGGTCAAACCGTTTGCCGATTGCTATAAAAATACATGCCATACACTCGACCAAGCAAAGCGTCAAAGTCACTCACACACACACACAAACGATATTTTACGGCCAACGTCCTTAGCAAAAAACCTGTATTCTTCACCGGCACGCCAGGCCAATAGGGCAGGTATTAAGCCCCTAGATACGTATCGAATAAACTGATCGATGCGAAGCTTAAGTTCACAGGCAGACATGTACATGTTATTGTACAATTACGCAGATAATGGGATTACTAAAATGTGAAGCAGTTGATGCTTCGCCAACATCGTCACCTCGGTAAATACTAAACGGCCATTTTCGTTTTTTAAATGGGTATTTATCGCTCGCCGAAGACGATTGACCGCGGAATACTTAGGGCAACTGTTAATTATTTTCTACAAACGTTTTCCTTATGAGTGAGAAATTATTATTTTGTTCACTACTTATTGCTGGTACATATTATTACGTATTATACCTATATATTTTATGGTAAGTTCCATGTGAAGCGTTTAGTGTAAAAAAAAACACACTTATTTGTTTCACGCAAATGTCACAGCCAACTCTGTAGCAAATATGCAGCCGCCCTAACATTTCAGATCTCTAGACCGATGTTACAACAACAATAATGAAACATATCTTTTAAGATGACGCCAATATGTCAGGTATATGTTTTTTTTTGTATTAATAATAATATTTAAACATCATTTTCAGTGTTTATTATACTTATTAATTACTAATTGTTTAGTAGACATTGTTGGAATGTTCCAATGCTGATCAATATACCCCACAGAGTAATTGTTTCCCGAAAAATCATCATTTAAAAGGTTATGAGAAGATTGTTTAACTTCATTTGATATTTTAATTTTTTTTATTTTTGGGTAAAAAAATTGTGTGAAAAAATTTAAAAAATAGTGAATTAAAGCCTTGCGCCAAATAGAATGAAGGGTTATTTTTATGAGAGTAATTCTGCCTAAACAAAAAAATTTACACTGAAAACAGGATGCAAATAGAAAATACAAAAACACATCACTTATATCGCATACTTTAAAAAGGTCGTTAACGTTTCGGAAATCCACTGTTTACGTCTTCTGAACTTTTTTTGACTTTTCGTTTTGCTTTTCTTTGACAGTTAAGAAAAAAATGAAAATTATGCCACAAATAAATAACTCCAGACAATAATTTTTATATAGTTTCGAATTAGTATATAGTACAGTCATTGAAGCTTTTCACCACCGAATTCTTTGAAACTTGGCAGGTAGTTAGAGAAAAGATCAATGAATATTAGTGACAAAGCGCCGATTGCCGCTTCCACCCTGTTGGGGGTTGACACCCCTTCTCGGGGGTGGAATTTTTTTTTCAAAAATAACGCTGGAAATCAATAGAGAATCAAATTTTGAGCAAAAAATATTCGAAGATTTTTTTCGAGAAATCAATAGTTTTTTAGTTATTCATGATGAACTTTTGGAATTTTGAGTGAAAAAAAAACACTTTTCAAAGGATTTATCGTGAATAACTCAAAAACTAGGCACTTTATTAAAAAAAGTGTAATGAACAAAAATGTAGGTTATAAATAAACAAAGAAAATCCTTCTTTAAAAAGTGTTGTACGTCCTATACAAAGCGAAATATGGTTAGTGGAAGGAGACTTGTTTTGGGAGGAATACTCGAATCGATGTATTCAACGTCAAATAACGGAAAAAGGATTAATTTTACGTGTATAACGCTCCTGGAGTTTTTTGTAGTACTCAAAAAGACCTTCAAAATGAGCACTTATAAAAGTTAATTAGAGCAAAATTGAAGGAGTTATCGTCAAAAACAGATGGGTTGCTCATATTTTTTAAGGAAAAATGAGCAGTAAACGCTGTACCATTTCCATCAGAATTAAAATTAATCGTAGACCCTTTACAATTAGTTTTGTTTTAGTGTTTTTCATACGATCCTGAAGTTAGACCGGTTTAGAATGCGTATTTTTTTAATAATGTACGGTAAAAGTTGAAAACGTATTTTTCATTATTCAAAAAAAATTGCCTTATTTATATAATAACTCTGAAACTATGAAAGATACGTAAAAAATGATAGACAACAAAAATGTAGCTTTTTTTTCAACAAATATTTTGCTTTTTTTTTTCCTATAGCATAAAAAATAAAGGAGATATCGCCGCTTGAAGTATCCATTTTAGTGAAAAAACGACCTGTCTCGAGCCCTTCGATCCTTTCCCTTTAAAAAACGAAGGACTTAAAAGGTTTTATATGCAAACGATCTTACAGCTCTTGAAATTATCTTTAAAATGCTTTTTTGTAGGATACTATAGCTTCAAAATTAACCGAGTTATGGTAAAAAAACCAATGACATTTTTTCGGAGCAAAATAGGCTTTCTCATTTTTATATATTATATATTATATTATACAAATAAAATAAGTAAAAAAATTTAGTGTGATTATTTATATGCAGCGTAGCAATTTTTTTTATGATTGATTATATTTAAAAATCGATTATAATAAAAATATTTTACATTAATATTGGTAAAAGGGTAGTTTATAAGAGTTGAAAATGGCAAAAGTAAAATATTCTTTCATAAACAATATAAGGGAATTTTTATTTTAAATTATTGCACTATTATAGCATTCCAAGATTTAAAACGTAATTTTTTTAGCACAGGGGTGATTTATAAGGGTTGAAATGTGTTATGAGATACAAATTCTTTCATAAGCAATGAGGGAATTTTTATTTTAAATAATTGCACCGTTAAAGCATTCCTAGCTTTTAAAAAGTAATTTTTTATCATTTTTGTCAATACAGAGGTGGTTTTTAGGGGAAAAATTCTTTTATTAGCTACAAGGTAACTTTTATTTTAAATAATTGCACGATTTAATCATTCCAAATCTTTAAAAAGTAATATCATTATTTTTTTAAAGGTTAAATAAAGGATCGAAAAGATCAAATATGTCATAAAACATGTTCGAGAACATGGAACATTATTTAATCTTTGTGCTAGAACAAGATTTTTATCAATAAAATGCTTAAAACTTAATTTTTTCATTTTTTTTACTTAGGGGTAGTTTTTACCCTTAAAAAAAACAAAAAGCGTCAATCGGGCTTATGTCACTTTTGATCTTGAGACATGCAGTTTCAAAGAATTCGGAGGTTACAGCTGATGTTCAGCTTTAATGACTGTACTAATAATAAATTTGAAATAAAGTAAAAGAACAGATATTTTCAAAAAACTGTATTTATTATTGTTGTTAAAAGTAGTGCTCCGACCCTCGCCACCTGCTTATCAATTCCCGGCATGGACGCGGATTCCGATCGAGAACGTCTTATCGGAGGTCCAAGCTCCCCAAGTGGGGCGCAGCGTCGCTGAAAATGCTTCGAGAGAGGTCCTCAGGCCGCACTTAGTCCGTTCGCGGTCGGCATCGAAGACGAACCGAAGAAGAAGAAGTAGGCGACACGCTAGTTCGAAATTTGTTTTCCAGCGGTACGATGATTTTCGAGTTATCTTTTGGTGCGTTGGTCCTGAGAAATATCTGTGGTGCTTAATTTTTCTTCGCAGTGCCAGGGTTTGTGCCCTGTTGTGAATTTTGGTGTGTGTGTAGTTTTCGGATTTTTTGCTGGAGTTTCGAATCGCTCAAGGTTTGTAAAATTATTATTAAGTGATAATAGTAACTAATTTTATTTGATTGAGTATTTCTATTACACTGAATGGGATTTTATTTAAATAAATAAGCCATTGCGCCAAAAAGAATCAGTCAAGGGGTTGATTTTGTGAGTACATCAGTAGATGATGATAGTTTACATGACTGTACAAAAGTCACTGAAACGAACTCATTACAGGGTTAATTTTTTCGAAAAACTTATGTTTTCAATATTAAAACTTTAGTTATAAAGGATCTCACACTTTTCTTATGAAAAGTGGTTTCTGTTAAATTGGCTGAAATTTTTATATGTTAACTTGCCGATCGAAAGTCTCCATTGGCACAATATCCAAAAGTTCATAGTTTTACTAGTTACGTTGACTTCAGGGCTCCGAATTCGAATTGAGTCTGTATTCGAAATTGTGAGTAGTTCTTTTGACTGCAGATTTCTGTTAAATTATTCTAGTCGGCATAAAAACCTATTGATTTTCTTTAAATTGTATTAAAGAATTAAATATTTTTTCTTTTATGCACATATACAGGGTGGGCCATTAGTGTGAGAAAGTAAAATAACTCCCTTGTCATTCATAATACAGAAAAAAGTTTATATAAAAATTGTACAGAATAAAAACCTAAAGGACAAAATTAATTTGAAACACAGGTCGAGTAAAAACGGGACACGCCAAATCTTACATATTTTAAATGGAATACTCTGTATATTTTTAAACATATGAATTTCTGAGAAAATGCGATATATGGCAATATACACAGTTTAACATTTTAGTGCGGGGTTGCCATGTTACGTAGAAAATTCTTCGAATTTTGGAAAAAACATGACCTCGAAGAAGTTGTATTAACTTTCAACTACTAACACTTGGAGCAAAAATATTTGACAGAGTTATAGGCAAATGTTAGCAAAGACTTCTGTTATTAGCTAATATCGATATTTTATACAGGGCATTTTTTATAATACGATCATTTTTAAAAAGTTCAAACTTAATATTCTAAAATTTTTNCGCCATAAATTAGTAACATATTAACTTTTTCTGAATGAGAAAGCACTAAAGTTATACGTTTAACGTTCATATTGAGTAATGACAAGTATTTTGTGACATTTATGCACTTTTGTAACCTTTATCTATCTATCTTTCGTTATCATAACGAGTTTGGATTTCACAAGAGTTTACTATTTAATTCTCGAAAGGAAGTTTATAATTGAAGGGCTTAGTGTGAAACAATGACAGGCCACCCTTTCTTGAAATATGATTTTTTTAATTTTCAAGTTTTGCAAGAGTATAACAAGCCACATAATGAATATTAAAAGAAAATGATTATTCATGATGATTATTCAAGTACATTCCATAAACATCTATACTTCTGTAACTAATGTAGACAAATTCTGAGAAAACGAAGCTAACGTTGATTTTACACATTTTAAAATTTCCAACAATTTTGCATTTGTGGCTTGTCATTATTTCACACTAAGCCCTTGAATTTATCATTCCATTTTGAGTTAATGATATTAGTTACTATTTATTTGTGGTATTATATAAAGTTTTTTCAGAAATGTTGCTATATCTTAAAAACTAACAATTTTAGATATGGAACATGCTTAATGAAAGTTGAAGTGGACCGATATGTGAATAAAATAGAACAATAAAATTTGAAAAATTTTAGAAAATCAAGTTTAACCTTTCTAAAAATAATCGTATTATAAAAAATGCCCTGTATAAAATATCGATATTAGTTAATATAGAAACCTTTGTCTAACATTTGCCTATAACTGTGTCAAATATTTTTGCTCCAAGTGTTAGTAGTTGAAAGTTAATACAACTTCTTCGAGGTCATGTTTTCTTTCAAAATTCGAAGAGTTTTCTGCATAACTTGGCAACCCCGCAATAAAATGATAAACTGTTTGGTGTTCCATTTAAAAAATGTAATATTTGGCGTGTCCCGTCTTTACTCATCACCCTGTATGTATCAAATTAATTTTTTAGTTTGTTTCTTGATTCTGTAAACTTTTATATAAACTAATGGCTCACCCTGTATTCACATGTACAAGTAGTTTTTGAGTCGGTACGGTAAAAAAGCTACCCCAAAAAGGTGTTGGACTGATTTTGCAATCTCCACTTGGTACACCTTGGGTAATGCAAATGCAACGGGTAAAAAATATTAAATAACATTTTTACCCCTTCGAATACAGAGTTATTGCTCTGAAGTCAACGTAACTCGAAAACTATGAACTTTTGGATATTGCGCCAACGGAGACTTTTGATCGGCAAGTTAACAGCTGAAACATATAAAAATTTCAGCCAATTTAACTGAAACCACTTTTTCATAAGAAAAGTGCGGGGTCCATTTGATTTCAATCAATTGTGACAGTTTTTTATTTTGTTTCTTTTCCACAGAGACATAAGATATACAATATTTATTGTTATTTCTTATTATTGGCAAAATGATCACGTAATTCAATGGAATAACTCAAAAATTTTAGGAAAAGAAAATAATACGACAAATAGAAAACTAAAAAGGGTCTGAGTTTATTTTGCTAAACGGTGATAGATGTGAATCAAATAAACTCTTAAATGTTGGTAGTTGCTGGTAAATATTTTCAACGACTAGGACTTTTGAAAATGTTTCCTTTTCGGTGTTGCAGAAATACTTAACCAAATAAAAAGAGTAACTGATAGTTCCGCAAATAAATAATTATAGACATAATAATAGTGTTATATACAGGGTGTCTCATAATTATTGTCCAATAATTTACCACTTGATTTTATTGTCAAAAATAAGAATATTTTTTCATATAAACATTGGTCGAGAAATGCTTCCTAAGGGAGCTAAGCCCGCCTAAATAGGGCCCCAAATTTTTTTTTTAAATATTTCAATATTTCTGAAATGGGTTGAAGGAAAATTATGGATTTTGACACCATCAACGCTCATTAAAAGTCGAAATAGATCATCATAAAATTTTGATCATGGGCGTCTCAATTGGGGGAAGGGTTCTCAGAATTTTTTTGCTTGTCGAAATTTTCAAATTCAAAAGTGATAGACCTTCATTTCCTCTACAAAAAAGGTAGTCTTTATTTCTTTCGATAAAATGCTCCATTTCCAAGAAAAACGGATTTAAGTGTTTAGCAAAGCACACATTGGCAAGTGTTATAACATATTTAAACCGATTTTTCTCGAAAACATTACCATTTTTTTTAGAAAACTCAGATCTATCAAATTTTACTGTTTAAATTTGAAAATAGCAACATGTAAAAAATTTCTTAGTACTTTTCACGTTGTTTATTACAATGTACAATGATATGATGATATATTAAAATTCATAATGGTACATGTAGGTACCTATTTTAGCTAGCTCAAGAAAATTTTTTTGAATTTTATTAATGAAATACTTAGATCCGTTTTTCTCGGAAATGGAGTATTTTATCGAAAGAACTAAAAAGTACCTTTTTTGTAGAGGAAATGAGNTCTTTCGATAAAATGCTCCATTTCCAAGAAAAACGGATTTAAGTGTTTAGCAAAGCACACTTTGGCAAGTGTTATAACATATTTAAACCGATTTTTCTCGAAAACATTACAATTTTTTAGAGAAAACTCAGATCTATCAAATTTTACTGTTTAAATTTGAAAATAGTAACATGTAAAAAATTTCTAAGTACTTTTCACGTTGTTTATTACAATTTACAATGATATGATGATATATCAAAATTCATAATGGTACATGTAGGTACTTACTAACTCAAGAAAATTTTTTTGAATTTTATTAATGAAATACTTATATCCGTTTTTCTCGGAAATGGAGTATTTTATCGAAAGAACTAAAGAGTACCTTTTTTGTAGAGGAAACGAGGGTCTATCATATCTGAATTTGAAAATTTCGACAAGCAAAATAATTGGGGCAAATTTTAGCCGACGACCCCCCCAATTGAGACGCCCCTGACAAAAATTTTTGAAAAATTTTATGATGATCTATTTCAACTTTTAATGAGTGTTCACAATGTCAAAATTCATAATTTTCCATCAACAAATTTTGGAAACATTTAAAAAAATGAAATTTTTGAGGCTCCATTTAGAGGGCATATCTCGACCCATATTTATATGATAAAATATTCTAATTTTTGGCAATAGAATCAAGTAGTAAATTATTGGACACTAATTATGAGACACCCTGTATATATTTCACTATAATTTATGATTTTCTTAATTATGAGTTACATTATATAGCAGTTTAATTTAAAAAGAAATAGATGTGGGAGAACGTAGGGTATAAATTAAAGAACATTTTCAAAATATTTCAGATATTTGATCGAAGTTAAAAAAAATATTATGCTTAATTATCTTCTGAACAAATGAAAACATTGATTAGGAATTTTGTGTTCACAATACTTGTGTGAAATAGCATAAAATCTGAAAAAAAAATTACTCCCAACTCAGACCAGTGGTGCAGATAAAATATAAGGCTTCATAATAATTTTTTTTGGAAAGTACGGCACGCCTCTGGAAAAAAATGGCGTTTTGAAATGCAAATTTAAATTTGAACGGAAACGATCTTTTTTGTATAACTTTTACCGTTTGAGTACAAATGATCAAATTTTGAATATGAAAAATATAGATAAGTTTATTGAAATAATTTTACAAAATATTTTCAAACTCAACGTTTGTCAAACAAACATTGTTTTTCAATCTACTTTTTGACATGTCCTTGTAAATATCTTCTTATTTCCTTAAAGATGCTGTATTCTGATGAACTATTGATACTTACCATTTTTTTTTAAACTTTACTGTTACATATGTACCTATCTAAGAAAAACAGAAAAACAAACTCTCCTTTATGTTTGTCGCGTTGTTGTTTAACACTAAATCTAAGTGTAAATTTACTAAACGCACCATTTTTATAAATTGTTCAATTGCAGCAAAACGATAAAACTTATTCAAGAAAGTCAACACTCCTAAATAAAATTTCAAAATGGTATTTTATTTTTCCTGTGG